ATATATATATATGCTTTAAGACTGCCTGACTGAGGCAGAGCAAGAACCCATGAGGATGGCCTGGGGCACAACTGAGGCAAAGCAGTTGGCCCTGGGCCAACCGGGCCAGAATCATGGAGGGCTCAGGAGTAGGTGTAGACCTGGGTAACCCAGGAGCAAGTGTAGACCTAGGTAACTGGGGAGCAGGTGTGGACTCGGGAACTGGTACAGACGTGGAACCGGGAGACTCTGGAATGGGAACAGACTTGGAACCAGGAGACTCTGGAATGGGAACAGACTTGGAACCAAGAGACTCTGGAACAAGAACAGACATGGAACCGGGATTCTGGGAAACAGGAACAGATGTGGAACCAGGAGACTGTAGAACAGAAACAGATGAAGGCATAGATGACTAGGGTGCCTGCGTAGATGAATGAGGAGCAGGCATAGATGAGACAGGAGGCTCGGGCTGACAGGACTAAAGACTCTGGGGCAGACAGGACTGAAGACTTTGGGGCTGAAGATGGTGGGCCAGACCAGGAGGATGGAAATGGTGGACCAGACGAAGAAGGTGGTGAGGAAATGGGCAACACCTGTGAAAGAGGCACATTACTAAATACAGACAGGTGAAAGAGGCTAAGAGGGTTGGAGAACACTAAAGGGAGACTAAGGAAAAGATGAAAATGAAAACACGAAGGCCAAACACCAGAGATAGACAGAAACACGAGACACAGATCCTCACAACAACAGATGCAGCTTAGTCAGAGCTGTTGCTTCACATTAAGAAAGTTGTAGGTTCAAAACCAGGATGGGGTTTTTAATATGGATTTTGCATGTTGTCCTCATGTGGGTTTTCTCCTGTTATTTTAGTTTTCTTCTGCAAACATAAAAACATGCATGTAAGATTTAATAAGAAATAAATTGATCCTATGTGTGTGTGAGTGAATGGTTATCTAACTAATTTGTCTCTATATGGCTATGTAATGGCTTCCTGTGGGCCCACCACCTGCWGTAGGGGCCATACAAGTCAGGTGCATAAAGTCATGGGCAGTTGCTAAAGGCATACTAAAGCTGGCTCCTGGGACATGGGACGTCACCACTCTGGCCTGTTCTTGTGTGTTAAGTTAGGTATGGCTAGATATAGTTGGGCTCACCGTGACACACAGGTGTGGGCTCTGGAGCCAAGAGGGACTGGACTTTATTCTAATCTGGAGTTGTGGTTCTCAGTTGAGTGTAAAATGGCTGGGATGAAGATCAGCACCTCCAAACCTGAATCCTTGGCCCTCAGTCAGATACGGGTGAATTACTCTCTCCAAGTTGAGGTGAGGTTCTGCCTTAAATGGAGGAGTTCAGGTATATTGGAGTTTTAWTTACAAGGCAGGGGAAGACCCAGGACACACTAAGGAGACTGTCTCTTAACCGGCCTGGGAACACATTGGAATCCTCCTAATAGAGCTGGAAGAGGTGGCTGGGTAAAGAGATGTTTGGGCTTCCCTCCATAAGCCGTTGCTCCTGAAACAACTGAAAATATKTCTTATATTCTAGGTTCTTCAAAGTAACCACCTTTTACTTTGATTACTGCTTCACACACTCTTGGCATTCTGTTGATGAGCTTCAACAGGTAGTCACCTGAAATGGTCTTCCAACAGTCTTGAAGGTGTTCCCAGAGATGCTTCGCACTTGTTGGCTCTTTTGCCCTCACTCTGCAGTCCAGCTCACCCCAAACCATCTTGATTGGGTTCAGGTCCGGTGACTGTGGAGGCCAGGTCATCTGGTGCAGCACCCCATCACTCTCCTTCTTGGTCAAATAGCCCTTACACAGCCTGGAGGTGTGTTTGGGGTCATTGTCCTGTTGAAAAATAAATGATGGTCCAATCAAACACAAACCGGATGGAATAGCATGCCGCTGCAAGATGCTGTGGTAGCCATGCTGGTTCAGTATGCCTTCAGTTTTGAATAAATCCCAGCAGTGTCACCAGCAAAGCACCCCCACACCATCACACCTCCTCCTCCATGCTTCACGGTGGGAACCAGGCATGTAGAGTCCATCCGTTCACCTTTTCTGCATCACACAAAGACACAGTGGTTAGAACCAAAGATCTCAAATTTGGACTCAACAGACCAAAGCACAGATTTCCACTGGTCTAATGTCCATTCCTTGTGTTTTTTAACCCAATCAAGTCTCTTCTGCTTGTTGTCTGTCCTTAGCAGTGGTTTCCTAGCAGCTATTTTACCATGAAGGCCTGATTCACACAGTCTCCTCTTAACAGTTGTTCTAGAGATGTGTCTGCTGCTAGAACTCTGTGTGGCATTGACCTGTTCTCTAATCCGAGCTGCTGTTAACCTGCCATTTCTGAGGCTGGTGACTCGGATGAATTTATTGTCCACAGCAGAGGTGACTCTTGATCTTCCTTTCCTGGGGTGGTCCTCATGTGAGCCAGTTTCTTTGTAGTGCTTTGAAAGTGGACACTTTCAAAGTTTTCCCAATTTTCTGGACTGACTGACCTTCATTTCTTAAAGTAATGATGGCCACTTGTTTTTCTTTACTTACTGCTTTTTTCTTGCCATAATACAAATTTTAACAGTCTATTCAGTAGGACTATCAGCTGCGTACTGTATCCACCTTCTGCACAACACAACTGATGGTCCCAACCCCATTTATAAGGCAAGAAATCACACTTATTAAACCTGACAGGGCACAGCTGTGAAGTGAAAACCATTTCAGGTGACTACCTCTTGAAGCTCATCAAGAGAATACTAAGAGTCTGTGAAGCAGTAATCAAAGCAAAAGGTGGCTACTTTGAAGAACCTAGAATGTGACATATTTTCAGTTGTTTCCCATTTTTTTAAGTATATAATTCCACATGTGTTAAGTCATAGTTTTGATGCCTTCAGTGTGACTCTACAATTTGCATAGTCATGAAAATAAAGAAAACTGAATGAGAAGATGTGTCCAAACTTTTGGTCTGTACTGTATGTATTTCTTTTTTTCCAGATGCGGTATAGTATAGATAAACTATAAATGAATAGCTTAATAATATGCAGTAAAAAATAATCATACAATTATGAACAAAACCAAAAAATAAATCATGTTAGCAGTTTACTGCACCTTCTTATGCTTTACTTTTGGTTTGGATTCTTTGTGGCAAGGGTACTAATTTAAAAAAAACTTGAATCTTTGTGGCGCATTGTCCTGCACGTATTTTATTTACCGTTATTTAACCAGGCAAGTCTCGTTGAGATCTCAGATCTCTTTTTCRAGGGTGGTCTGGGCCTGAAGGCAACCTGTCGTACATGTTTTTTGGGGTGTGGGAAACCGGAGTACCTGGAGAAAACCCACACAAGCACAAGGAGAACATGCAAACTCCGCACAGAAAGACCCCAGGTCCGAACCGGGGATTGAACCCAGGACCTTCTTGCTGAGAGGCGTCAATGATAACCACTGAGCCGTTGTGYGTATTAGATGTTTCCCTGCTTTAACACACCTAACTGAAATGAATGGGCAGGCTTTTGCTGAGAAGGTAGTTAAATTATTGAATCAAGTGTGTTGATTGATGACCTCTGATTTGACGCTTCCTGCTCTGTACATTATCTTAAAATGTACTTGTTCATCGAAAACCCCATGTTCCATTGACCGAAATAAAAATACAACAGCCATTTCCTTTGCCATTTATCTTGGCTTTGTGTGTGTGTGTGTGTGTGTCTGTCTGTCTGTCTGTCTGTCTGTCTGTCTGTCTGTCTGTCTGTCTGTCTGTCTGTCTGTCTGTCTGTCTGTGATTTGAATCTACATCACACTCAAGTTCATACACAGTCTATGAGCTGAGTTAGTGCAGCTTTTACCAAACCTGTCAGACTAAAACAAGGATAGACTAGAGCAGGTGTGTCAAACTTATTTTCACCAAGGGTCACATGAGCGTTGTGGCTGCCCTTGAAGGGCCAGTTGTAATTAACTTCTACTAAATTGTCACCTTCCTCATCTCGTTGCACTAACAATAACTGAGCTCTATGTGGTATTTCCTGCATAGAAACCATTTTAACATGTCCTATTATAAACACTGAAATGTACTATGTGTATGACTGACTAAATGTGAAGTAAATAATACAGAAATGCTATTAAAAATAAAAGTATGAGAGCCTTACTCAATGATGAGTTGTGGTGAGTAGATGTCTTGAATTCTGCACTCTCCCACTTTTCAACAGGGAATTCCCACAGGTTCCAGTTTAAATTCATGACATGTAAGTGGAAAAGTCCCACTTCTCAGTACAACTGCATCAAAAGTACTACTTTTTTACACTACTTTTGAGCTCTGAGCACCTCCACCTACTGGTGGGATGCCACCAATTCCAGGGTAAAATAATCAACATGCATTATGATGTAGTTCATGGCTACTATTTTAAGACATTAATACATCTTTGAAGCTCTCCCAGGCCACATATAAAGCAATGGCTGGCCACCTTTGGCCTGTGGGCCTTGAGTTTGACAAATGTGGACTAAAGTGTGAATAAAACCCAAAACAACTAAAAGTCTAGTTATGTTTCCTTCAGCATTAGAATAACCAAGGGACTAAGCAAGGGCTTGGGAGTATTCATAAAATGCTTCTCACTTCATTTTCCACAGTTGAAGTGTATCTCATCACAGTGTCCATCTACCATAGCAGAWGAACTGTTTTAGATCCCTGCTTCCCACATATATGACTTTGTCTCTTTCAGATAAATCCAGACAACTTTAAAGATGGCCTCTTCCAACAGCACACTGCAGAGGCAGACATTGATGTAAGCAAGCGTTGCTGTCAGTGAGAAACGTAACAAGTCTAATGGAAAGTGCAGCTGACCTGTGTCTTTGTGTATGCATGTAAGGCTAAGCTGAGCAAACTGTGTGAGCAGGACAAGGCTGTGAAAACTCAGGAGGAGAAGCTGCAGCAGCTCCACAGGGAGAAGGTACAGTTCTGAGTGTGTGAAGGTATGACAGTGTCTTGAAGGAGCTGTCAGCTGTGCTGTAAAAACTGTGTTTGTTATGTGGCAGCACACTTTAGAGACGGCACTGCTATCAGCAAGTCAGGAGCTGAGTGAACACGGTGGCTCCAGCACAGCTGCCATACAGAGCCTGGTCCAACAGAGAGACGTCCTTCAGAGCGGCCTACTCAGCACCTGCAGAGAGCTGTCAAGAGTCAATGCTGTAAGARCACCCACACATACACAAACATTTCTTTATCCTCTCTAATCATAGTTTTGCCATAAACAAACACGTAAAAACAAGATGTTATTCCAAATACATTAAATGTTTTAGGGTTCCATTTCCCTCTGTTCTTCTCCTTGTATTTTGCTACTTGGATCTATTATAGGTCAACACAGTGTCAAATTTCATTTTTATGTACGTAAATGATTTGCATATTTATTTACCATTAAGGCCAGGATCCAGTAATCCACTACTTTCTCTCTTTGACTGCATCTCTGCGATCAAACATAGGCTAAACAAGAAGTTCCTGTTTTTAAGTGACAATAAAACACAATGGATTTTATTTGGTGACAAAGCTGCAACTGGCCCGGGGAATTTGACCATTAACTTCAGTGACTGTGAAGAACCTTTGGGTGACCTTTGATAAGGTTTTACACTTTGACAAACACATTGCCTCTGTTGTCCAGTCTGGATTTTATCATTTGCACCTTTTAAAAAAGGTCAAACCCTTTTTGAACTGTTATGATTTTGTTCATGCTTTTATCAGTTCAAGACTCAACTATTGTAATGCTCTGTATGTTGGTGTACCGCAGTCATCACTGAGCTGTACGGGTTGGTATCCTTTGACATCTGAATCAATTCGGTACCAATGTCCGGTACCTGGGAATCGGTACCGGTACTTAACGGTACCAATTTTCGGTACTTTGTGTGTGTTGTTTTTCTAAATAATAAACTTTTATTTTTAAAACATATTTCACAATATATAAACTTAACAAATATCAAGACAACATCCAACTCTATGTATTGTAACAGCAGTTGTGTAACTTGTTTCTTTAAAGTGCAAACTCTTGAAAACAACAAGACAGTTTTGTCTTATTTCACAAATTAAAATCCAGCTCCACGTGTTTCTATTGATGTCATTTCCCCGCTAGAAAAGTTGTGTGATGGAGGTCCATGGAAGGCAAATAAGTTTAAATCAAATAAGCAAAAGAGGATGCAGTTAAAATAAATAAAAGGTATTCAAGCTACGTTTTGAGCATCCAAAACACTCCAACACTTCAAGTTGGCTGCTTGTGCTCTTTCAGGTCAGACGCATTCAGACTGTCAGGAAGCTCCTCTGTTGTTTTCCTCTGCCAGTCTCTGTTTAATGGAGGATGAAATAAAGAAAGTGGTTGTACTTTATTTACTTTGAGCAAGTGAACGTTGTATTAACAAGATAATTAATCCACCAGATAATTCAGAGGTGGTCTGTTCGGTGAGTTTAGGAGCTGCGAGGCTCGCTATCAAGCTACGTTCAGACCGAGCTCTGTTTACCCGTGGAAGCTGACATCATTACGCTCTTATGTGATGCTGCGTTCAGGACAAGCATGGAAAACTCACCACTCTTAAGCCAATACGGTCGCAATGATGCTTTTAGGTACCAAAACATGATACCGTTTGACGTTACGTGAATAGATACTCGGTAGTACCAACAGAATTCGGTCTGTGCATAAAAAAAAGGTATCGAATTCAGTACCCATCCCTACTGAGCTGCCTCCAGCTTATTCAAAAAGGCAGCAGCTCACCTTTTAATCAATACTCCTAGACAAGACCACATCACACCTGTTTAATTCTCAATACATTGGCTTCCTATCCCTGTTAAAATAGAGTTTAAATTTTATAACTTGTCTTTAAAGCTCTGAAATGCTTCTCTCCTCCTTATATAACAGAACTGTTAAGGTTCCCCACCAGCTCCAGGTCTCTGAGGTCAAATAGCCAGCTCCTGCTCTCTGTTAGGACAAAATATAAATGCTGGGGTGACTATGCCTTTTCTGCGGCTGCACCTCTACTCTGGAATCAGCTCCCTCTTGATCTACGTTTGGTTGCTGAACTTGGCCAGTTTAAATCGAAGCTTAAAATTTTTTTATTCTAATAGCGTTTAGTACTTAAGTGGTGACATTTCTGGTTTTGTTTCTGCTATTTTGTTGTGTTTTTCTTGCTTTTAACTTGTTGTCATGTTAATCACTGATTTTGTTAAGCACTTTGATCACCAGCACTGTGATTGTGCTATAGAAATAAATAAATCAATAAAATACATCAACAGTTGTTGTACTCAAAATCTTTTTTTTCTCAAAAATGGATCTTCCTGGTTGTATTACTAACTAGAGCATGGTGAAAAAAGTTTTTGGTTGGCATAATAATAATAATAATTAAAAATTAATAATAATATTAACAATCAGGTCAAAAACAATAGGGCCTTGCACTATTTCACAGCGCCCGAGCCCTAATAATCAGGTCAAAATGGTTATGTTTATGGTGACTAGGGTTGGATAAAGAACTGATATGAGTGGGGGCCTCGTAAGTAGGCCCATTGCTCTCCTCAAAAAGACACTGGTCTTTATTTAATCTTTAGTGTACCTCGGATGAAGGACACAAGGTTAGAAACACTATAGCTACGTTTACATGGACATAAGTAGTCGGATTAAGTGGCCATTCAGAATAAAAATGCRTCATGTAAACACCCCATTCGGATTAATCTGACATGATTCATCTCGATCCGAATGAATTTGTAATCGGAATGAGAGAGGTGGTTTATGCCGATTGATAATCCAAACAGAGTGCGTATAAACACTTAATCCGATCATCTTATTCTGATTGTGGAAAACTGACCTGACTGTGCATGTCTTCTGACTTTCATCCACCGGTTTCTGCTTTTTTGTGGAGGGAGGTACAGTAGTGCTACAGTTTCCAGCAGAAAATAACTTTTCCTCCTGTTCTCTCATTCAATAAAGAAGGAAGACACACAGCCTCAGAAGACATTTGTTTACATTCATCATGGAAATATAACTACTTCTTCTGTGTTTTTTTAGGGAAAGTTAACAACTCGGTGCATGTCAGTACTTCTATTCTGAATAAAAACCCAGTGCATGTAAACACTCAGTGAACACGAGCTACGTTTACATGGACATAAGTAATCGGATTAAACGGCCATTTGGAATAAAAATGTGTCATGTAAACACCCCATTCGGATTATTCTGACCCGATTCAGCTTGACCCGAAGGAATTTGTAATTGGAACGAGAGAGGTGGTTTATGCCAATTGATAATCCGAACAACGTGCATGTAATCTGCTTTGTTGTGGAGGGAGGGACAGCACTGCTGTAGTTTCCAGCAGCACAGAACTTTTCCTCCGGTTTACTCGTTCAATAAAGAAGGAAGACAAACAGCCTGCACCACTTCCCAAAAAAAACCAAATGCCAACCAAAAGCCTGGTGCATGTAAACACTTATCGTGACCAGATTGTGCCCATATAAACTATGTATTCAGATTATTTAATCGGAATACATTTCAATCCGATAAAAGAATTTTGCACATGTAAACATTGCTAGTGTTCTGAGCTTCTCGGGATCCATAAAGGGGTCCCCAAGAATTCTTTTCCTTTGACTGATCAGAACCAGGCAGTTTCCATTTATCAGTTCCCGTGCCTGTCTACAGTCCATCAGCTCTCTCCAGTGGATTGAGTGTTGGTGTCTAATCCAGGCCTGTAGGGCAGTCCTACAGACTGTTGTTGAGATACCTACAACAGGCTCTGGTCCTTTGAAGCAAATCTGACTGCCAGCTTTTGCAAGATATGCAGCTCTCTCAACTTATAGAACTTGTCTGGGCAAACGTGTACAGCTCTTTGACGCCTTTATAGAACTGAATTTGTTTGATGAAAATTAGTGCCCCTTTGTTTTTGTTCTTTTGTTCTGTTAATTTTTGTTGTTGTTTGTCCTCTGTTTAAAATCTGTTTTTTTTTCATCTTATATTTTTATGTGCCTTAAACATGTACAACTTGATATCTTCCTGTATATACATGCCACTTGATCCTGTACAGTTGTTGAAAATGTTTAATAAAAAAAAGTCTTGTAGGGAAGCTTTAGCAGCATTGGAGTGCTAGCAGTTGCTATTGTCTCAGGAATTTGTCATAACATAAACCTAAATGCTAAATTCAACATTTAAGGTTTAATTTTTACATTTAGATTTAAACATTTAGATTGACGATTTAATATTAATTTTTTAATATTTAAATTTAACATTTACAATGACAATGACATTGCACATGGCTGTAGTAAACAGGAAGTTGAAGTTGCAAACTCGCAGAGACCACACATCTCGGGACAATGTAATCAGGAATGTGTTGCTATCGGGGAAGTTGTAATTATTCTGACACATCAACTAGTATTGGCCACATGGAGACGTAGAAAAATAAATTATCTTCACACACATACAAAAGACTCAGTTGTTGGCTGGTGTGTTTTCAGGAACTGGAAGGTTTCTGCAGGATGTATGATCAGCTAGAGGCAGATGTCACTTCGGCCAAGACTGACTTGTTGGAGCAGCTGGAGGCCTTGGGTAGCCCACAGGTAACACACTCGGGCTGCCACTAATGGCAACTTTTTTTAAGTAATGTCAACTTATTTTTTGATTTATTCTGCACAGAAAAAAGATGGAGGACTGAATCTGACATGATTAGAAATAAAAGCAGAAATATATAAATACACCAATAAATACACTTAAAATGCACCAGTTAAATTAAAAGGAGACTTTTACTACATG